TAGTCTAGACGTTAAATTTAGTTCTTTTATTTCTATGATATATCATTTTGCGTCTTCGTGCCATGCTCGCAGACTACGTAACAAAATAATAAATAATGCTTAAGTCGTCGATAAGATCAGTGGGGTAATTTCACTTATTGTCGAAGCCGGAATAGCAGTGGAATGAAAAATTTCATATTATTTTCCGTACAGTTTAGCTATCTCAGAGATAATTGAAACTAACAAATTGACTAAATTTAGTAAAGTCGAATACATCGCTTCATAATCCAAATCTACTAAAATCAGAATTATATTTAAAAAAAAAAACATATTCGTAAGTATTAAAGACAAATAATAAAAGCCTGTAAATATTTATTTGCAAACATTAACCTTACCAGAAAGACGTCCTATAAATAAACAAAAGAAAATTACTGGCCTCAAATATTAAGAACCGGTAAAACCGGACGATTCCACTATACGCCAAATCTGTGTTTTGTATACAAATACTATCACTACGCCGTAGTACTATCTACTGAGTACTCACTACTACATTCCCCGTAGCAAAAAGGGCATATCGAACCCCAATTTTCAAATAACATCACTAAACAATAGAGCACAAGATCTATTTTCTGCGAGAACTACCAAGTTTTCCCTCCTATATTAAAAGTGAACAAATCCGAAACCATCCTGTCTGAAAATGGTGTTAATTGCTAGTACGATAAAGTTCAATTTGGTGTTTATTCTAAAGCCTGTTGATGTTTTCATTTTCACGATAAGTCATAGTAAATTCGCTTTCGTTGGCGTCGTGCCCACCGCCGGCCGGATCAATGAGTCTGTGATACAAGACTTTCTCGTTGCGATGATATTTTTGGATTTTTCGTTTATTTTACTTACCATCATTTATGTATCCTAATTATTATTGGTTATCGATTTATTACAGAGCTCTAAAGTGTTTATCGTTNTTGATGTTTTCATTTTCACGATAAGTCATAGTAAATTCGCTTTCGTTGGCGTCGTGCCCACCGCCGGCCGGATCAATGAGTCTGTGATACAAGACTTTCTCGTTGCGATGATATTTTTGGATTTTTCGTTTATTTTACTTACCATCATTTATGTATCCTAATTATTATTGGTTATCGATTTATTACAGAGCTCTAAAGTATTTATCGTTTGTACTGAAACATTATAATTTTCCAACATGTACTGTAATGACAGTGTGTGACTAGTGTTCGATGATTGAATTTCGACCATAATCACTGGCACTTAGACCTTAGAACTTATATCTCAAGGTGAGTGGCGCATTTACGTTACTGGATAACCGCTTAACACCAGGTGGGCTGTGAGCTCGTCTACCCATCTAAGCAATAAAAAAAAAACTTCAATATTTAGATTCATAATTTCATTCGTTTGCTATTGAAATTTCAACAATTACATTGATTATTTCCAATTTGTTTGATGGTAACATAAAAAAATCTCAAGAAACTAAAAATAGATTTTTAATTTTAATTGCTTGCTTCGTGAACGAGCAAATATACCTCACAACGCGAATGCCGCCACCAACCTTGAGACATGAGGTTCTATTCTCTACTAAATTATTAATCGGATATTCCAATCTACAAACCAAAAACCATCTCTGATGATAACAAAAATTAGCAGGATCATATTTAAAGCATCTCCTTGTATTTTGTAAAATAAATCCTTTATTCATAGAGAAACAAAGATTTTTTTTAAGCACAAACAGTCTCGCCTCTTATGCGCACATTCTCGACAAGAAAAGCGACCGACGCCACAACATCTCTCTGAATATTTTCACAGTTCACACTTTGTAGTTACAAGACATTTTCCGACGATGGAAATAAGTTCCTCTTCGTCGTTGAAAACGCACACAAAGAAACATCAGCTTCTCTAAAGGAAACCCTGAGAGAATATTACCTCCCCTTTTATTGTTTCGAGTTTTTAACGAAATTTTCACGAACGTCTTTTAAGAATAACGGATATTTGAATACTTACGTAACCAAAAAAAAATGGAATGAATTGTTAACGGACTATGAATATTAATATTTGAGATAGCTTTCACTTTAAGCGGTGAATGTTTGAAAACAATTTACTTATAAAACGTATTAAAATTTTGAGTGGGATATTGAAGAAGTGTAATCACTATATAGTATAAAACAAAGTCGCTTTCTCTGTCCCTATATCTGTCTGTCCCTATGTATGCTTAAATCTTTAAAACTACGCAACGAATTTTGATGCGGTTTTTTTTTAATAGATAGAGTGATTGAAGAGGAAGGTTTATATGTATAATAACATCCATTAAAAAGTGGAGAAATCATTAATAAATTACAGTTTCCGAAGCGAAGCGAGGGCGGGTCGCTAGTGAGAGATATACCTTGACTGATGCAGCTACTGAAAACGAACGGCTTATCGGATTTCTACAATAAGTTCATAGACTTTATCGTATTGTTTTGTATAGGGAACGTTGTGTACAAATTCAGCACTTTGTCTTGTTTAGTCGTGCGCACATAGCTTATGTTGCAAGGCAGATTTTGTATCTTTTTAGCTTGTGATTTTTATTGTGTGCCTAATAAATAAATAAAGAAGGCTTTTGTAATTCCAACCATTTTGCAAGGTCGATTAAGCAATGAATGTCTTCTTCTTCCAGTGCCTCTTCAGTTCTGAAGGTTGGCCGTTAGCTTCCTGTATTCATCTCTATCAACAGCCCAGCCGGAACAGCTGTTCGACGGAGGCAATACCGGTCCACTCCCGGATATTCCAGAGTCATGACTTCTTTCTTCGCCCAGCACGTCTCTGTCCGTCCACTTTGCCCATCATTATCAAATGCAGCAGCATATATCTATCGTTCCTGAGCACGCGGCCGAGATATTCTATCTTGCGCTTTTGTACATGAATCATTTACAAATGATGACTGTACATGAATCAATATAAGAAAAACATTCTGATTTTCTGGGTCAAAGTTTAAAATTGAAGATATGAAATAACCCCATAGAATTTAATTTACGGCACGCCACCGATCGAGACGGTTCGAATTCTAATTCAAAGTAACTTTCACTATGAAATATTTTTTGCGTTTGAGTGACCTCGAGTGAGTCTACGCAACAAAGGGCTCTTTCGACCTTACTTTCATCTACCTATGCCTGAACACCAATATTTTCAGAGAAATTTTAAAAACTCGCTTATAAGTAAAATTTTACAACCCTAATATTTTATTTTGCATCTTATATTTTTTTGTTATTATAATAGCTATTGAAAAATTAATTGCTATTTGTAAACATACAGTGCAAAACGTATATTTTTGAATTAAATGCAGAGTTTTACGTTGATAGCTGTATTTAGATTGATTATTTTCTCAAACCCCTAAGTCAACATTATTTAACGCCACGTCTATGGTTCCAGCAAAAATTGACATGTTGATCCATAAAGGTTCGTCCATCTCTAGCATAGATTGACGTTATTCCAAAAAGTTTCCTTTTTCACTTGCTCCCTACATAGACACAATATCTCTATACAAAAATGAACCAATTAGGTGCCTCGAAGTTACTGATTTTTATAAATAATAGCTTTACAGACCTAAAGAAAGAATGCATTTCCCTGTAAACGAACATAACTGTAATAAATAAAAATTATATATTAGTTCTAAACTTATAAAAAACTACACAGATGCACACTTATATAGCAAAACGAACTAACAATTTATTTCATTTTAAATTTTAATATATGTTGATTACGTTCAGAGCTTAAGGAATAAAATGAATTTTATTATCATCGGTCCTTGATGTACAATAGACTTTCAGTTTATCGGACGTATTTAAGTCGTTGAAACTAACGTTCATACCAAAATAATAAAAGCGTGCTCAAAAATATATTATTTAACATTACGAATACGAATCTACAATTTGAACTGACCATCGAGACGACTAACCGAAGCGGCCGATTTCGTAATTTATAATTAACAAGTACTGAGTTGAGGTCGCGTGTTGTATCCACATTTTGTAACATTTTATAATTAATCGAATACCACCCCTGTCAGGGGCACACCGGAGTGCCGTAACCGGTCATCGACCCCCCGGAATTTAGGACGATTCAATGTTTATAACATTAAAAGAGAACACAACAGGAAGTGGAGCGAGGGGCAGCGCCCACCGCGCGAACCGTTTCACACCTATCCATCACGTTTTTTTTTTTTTTTTTTTCGTATGATCACTGTACTCGTAAGCCGTTCGTAAGTGGTCATGTCAATTCGATGCTTACGAGTTCAGCAAGTGACGTGAGTGAAGTGAGTTTACACGTGAATGTGAAACGATTTCGTGTGGCCGAACTTACATAATAATATATATACATCTCAATTTGAAACATCATTATTCTTTAGGAACAGACAAACCAGATCAAACATTACATATATAATCTTTAAACAATATTTAAGTATGCTATTATTATATTATATATAGAAAAAAAAATATAGTTGGTGTCGGGGGACACCGGATAGGAACGAAGTTCCTTATTATAAAAATATTAATTTTAAATTCTATTCTATTCGGGTATACATTTTTTATTGTTTTTTTATTGATAAAAAAAAACTACTTAAAAAGTTATCAATTTTATTTTATTCACAATGATTTATAAAAAATATATAATAAAAATATGTTATTTTTTGTACGTTATTACTAAGTTCAGTCGTACACTTTGTGCATTACTAATAAAAATCTTACATTACGGACGTTTTTTCCCGGTTAGGGTACCCCTCCGCATCGTCCCATAAGGAACTTCGTACCAAAATATAGTATTTATAAATGAAATTATATTTTTAACAGTGCTTATCATAGCTCACGACAAAGCTACGAATGAAAATCAAAAAATCCTTTAATATGTTCACACTCGTACCTACCCGTACACACGAGTATCCGTATCTGTTTTGATTTTGATTGAATATGCATATCTAATAATCATAACCAACGATGTGTCATGTTCGTCCGTCACGAACAGAATACATAATGAAAGCTTACCTTTCATGAGCCGCCGCTTCATTTCCATTCACGAGCGATTCAGTGATTTTCATTCTAATACTAAGCAGCAAAATAATTCAGATTTAAATTATGACATCACTATCGGGACATTCCAAAAACAAAATGTCAATGTTAAAATTCTAAACTAAACTTTTTTCAGAAATCGATAACTGGCTAATAAAAAAAGAGGGTTGCAATTTTAAAACCTTTCGGTTCTGAAGAACTTTGAATTAGAATTGAACGTAACTGCATTGAATGAATTTGCAAAACGAGTCGCAAGCGCAGTGCGGCTGCCGAGTTAACCAGCACGCCACTGTCCCAAGGGATTAACTGATCTAACTCGACAACACTTGGCTGGATTGCAGCAATTTAATACCAACCATGATTGCACGAGGGCGGGACGCAGGAGACCGGCTCTCGAGCGAAATTGGTAAATAGACGCATAATCAAAACTAAATGGATGTTCGCAGTTCAATGACAAGTGTGTTGTTAAGGCTAAAACGTCGCCGTGCCGTCTACGGAAGCGGTAAATGTTATACGCGTGGGACCTTTCAAAGGCTAATAGAATTTCCCGAGCAAATGGATCCTGAAACTCGCGATTCGATAACAATTAACTCCCGTTGTACATTTACTTAAATGAGCGGAGAACTAAAAGAATATACATATATCTTCCGGCATTTTCCTGTTCATTAATGTTAATATCAAATTATGATATCAAAGTAGGTAATTTCCAGACTTTTTCCGAGTAATAGTCAGTGAAACAAATTGTAATAATTAGCGGCACGTCATCTTTATTACGTAACTATTTTTGTGGCAGTAAATTATGAATCAAAAGAACCTATGACGATCGAAAACAAAGGAAAGGTCATTAGAGATGAAAGAGAAATTGATACTACTGAAAGGTATCAATCTTATTCATGTACTATGATAATGTAATAATATTTCCCCACCAAAAACATAATGTCTCGTCTATTTGTCTCATTAAAATAAACTATAAAAAGATAATTGGTATTATAACTTTGTTTGTCAATAAATCGATCAGATAAACATGTATCCACAATACGTACATTATTTTTATTTATAATTCATTATGTACATTCTGTTCGTAATTCTTATACAAATAAACAATGATTCGTATTACGAAGCATCATTGCACTACGTCTGCAGGAACTAGATATCCTACAACACCCATAATTATTCAAATGAGAGTCACGTTTAGAGAATATACAACAATATGCTTATAACGACAGTCACGTTTATTAAAACAAACTTTCGTGTTTAGAGCGATCGCGATCACGCGTCAACTCACACAGTAACATAAAATATTTCCTAAAATTGCTGAGCCTTTCTCCCCAATATATTATAAGACATAAAAACTGCAGCCAATAATGCATCGGAATAATAATCCTTGAAACGAGTCACGTCTATGGAAAGTTTCGTGTCGGAGAAGTCACGAGTCAGCTTAGAGGACGGAGGGGTCCTGTCTTGCAGAGGATGTGACCAATTTTACAACTCCGGACAACAATCTGCGGTCTGATTGACAATCTAAACAACAGCGGATATTAATCCGCTGTTGTTTATATGCAGAATATTAATTCTGCGGGTTTCAATAGAGTTATGTCGGTAATATAGCATACAATTGTATTAATGTTGATCCTACCATTATTCGCCATTGAAAATTGAAAACAGAGGGTTTATGCCCTGAAATGAATGACAACTTTATCTAAATGTTACCTAGAAGTAAAATAAGTTTTGTTGAAAATCGTGAAAATATAATAACACGTATTTTTACCTTTAAATAGAATATCTAAATGACACAAGATGCCCATTTGGTTTTAGCTATTTATTGAAGCCATGTATCATAAATGTAAACCGTCAACTACCTTAAAACGTGAGTTAAAATCTCAATTGTGTTGCTTAACCGCTTTTTTCGGGCTATCCCACAAACTGGAATGCATTATTGCATCGTGACGGAAAAAGGCAGCATGGCGGTATTAACTCAATGGATACAATACGCCCTATCAATAAATGCGATATGAAAATACATAAGGTACATTTACTAGGTATATAACTGTTTATTTAGTTTTAACCCTTTCACAATATATAATGTAAAGTTCAACTTATTAACTAGACATATGTACAAAGGTATGAATTAATCCAATATCATATACTACTCATACAGCTAAATAAAGTATGCGTTGAGTGAATTGCGATTTCTGTCAAGAATTAAAGCAGTCGGATATTCACATTAAGAAGACATTGTATCAGTGTTACTAAATTATAGAATACAGAATGTTTGTAAAATAATTAAGCAATCAATTTTTTTTTTATTGCTTAGATGGGTGGACGATCTCACAGCCCGCCCACCTGATGTTAAGTGGTTACTGGAGCCCATAGACATCCACAACGTAAATGCGCCACCCACCTTGAGATATAAGTTCTAAGGTCTCAAGTATAGTTACAACGGCTGCCCCACCCTTAAAACCGAAACGCATTACTGCTTCACGGCAGAAATAGGCAGGGTGGTGGTACCCACCCGCGCGGACTCACAAGAGGTCCTACCACCGGTAATTACGCAAATTATAATTTTTGCGGGTTTCATTTTTATTACACGATGTTATTCCTTCACCGTGGAAATCAATAGTGAACATTTGTTGAGTACGTATTTCATTAGAAACATGGTACCCGCCTGAGATTCGAAGACCGGTGCATCAACACGAATGCACCGGACGTCTTATCCGTTAGGCCACGACGACTTCTATAATTATATAATTATAGAGAGAGAGAGGGAAAGAAAGAGAGAGAGAGAGAGAGAGAGAGAGAGAGAAAGTAATTTATTACACATCAAAACATAGTTATTGAAAATTTCAAATTAAATAGTCCTATCACTAAAACCGATCTTTTCTGCACAACCGTTTTCGCATCGGAAAAGTCTGAAAGAGATTCTTATTTGTAAAATTTTTACTCTTTATTCATTCAAGAAAATATGTCGTTATGATCTCACACGTCTAAATTATATTTTCATTAATGGGACCGTACACAGAGTATCAAAGCCTTATCGAATTCCAAGTAGGGCTCTGAAGTATATTAATTAAAATTAAGTAAGTAGAAGCAAGCGACCCGCTTTTAGGTCACGCGGAAAAACGAGCACGCGTTTCTGATTACGGAACTGCAATATAATTGTAAAATCACTTCGAGACATGTTTTATTTACAACACGTCGGCTTGCAGATTTTCTAAAGTAACAAAAATGTTGGAAAAACTAGGTATTATATGTATGTATGTATGTATTTTTGTATGTATGTATATGTGATTGTGTATATATGTATGTATATACTTTGTTTTTGTGTGTATGTATTTGTAAATTAATATAATTTTCTCACTAATTCACTACCTTTGGTTGACTGGTAGAGAATGCCTTAGGCATGCCAATGTAAATTTTACATCATCATCATCATCATCATCATCAGCCTTTATCTGCCCACTGCTGGACATAGGCTTTCCCCAATGCTTTCCACATAATGCGGTCCTCCGCCTTGCGCATCCAACGACTTCCCGCCGTGCGCACTAAGTCGTCAGTCCACCTGGTTGGAGGACGCCCCACGTTCCTTGTATCCATCCGTGGCCTCCATTCGAGGACTTTCCTCCCCCACCTGGCGTCGTTGGCTCGACAGATGTGACCGGCCCATTGCCACTTCAGCCTGCTAGCTTTGAGAGCTATGTCGTCGACTTTGGTTCTCCGTCGAATTTCTTCGTTCCGGATTTTGTCCCTTAGAGAAATACCTAACATAGCTCTCTCCATCGCCCGCTGTGCGACTCTTAACTTATGGGCCAGCCCTGCCGTCAGTGTCCAGGTTTCCGCGCCGTAGGTCATAGCGGGGAGAATGCACTGGTTAAAGACTTTTGTCTTCAGGCATTGAGGAATTTGCGAGGTGAGGATTGCACGGAATTACCCAAATGCCGACCAACCCAGTCGTATGCGTCTCTCAATCTCTGTATTGAAGTTACCCCGGCCAAGTTGGATAGCCTGACCGAGGTAGACAAAGTCTTTTACCTCTTCAATGACTGCATTCGAGATGGTAACTTGACCCGGGACGATTTTATCATTGAACATGACTTTCGTCTTGTCAAGGTTCATTTTTTTTTTTTTTTTTAATTTCAAATTTTACATTAAGTGTAATAAATAAATAAATAAATAAATCGGTATAATCCTGATAAAGTACATAAGTTGAACTTAATAAATTGCTAAAGATTTTGAGCGTTAGTGAGAAACCCTATGAAACGTTTTTCCTTACGCTCAAATAATGACGGATCAATAACCGAGCTTGCTAGTACAAGTTTCCTTGTTTATTGTACGTGCAACGAACAAGGAATTCTATTCCGATGTTTTTCAGCTCATAATCGGATGACAAAGGTTTCCCAATTTCGCGAATGCATAAGTCATATCGTTTACTAGATATGCTGCAACATACGACGCCATCCGCCACGCACGTTAAAGGCTATTTACATAATCAACTACGTTTGGCAGTTTCCTTTCATGTCGCGATGCCTGTGTTTTATGTATGAAAACGGGGCGATGTGGAGTAAACACAAATCCTAAAAATAAGCCCGAATGAATGTGTCATAAAAGGTCTGTGTCTAAATGAAGTCGTCGTGGCCTAAAGGATAAGACGTCCGGTGCATTCGTATCTAACGATGCAACGGTGTTGGAATCCTGCAGGCGGGTACCAATCTTTCCAACGAATACGTACGATTGACTTCCACTATGAAGGAATAACATCGTGTTATAAAAATGAGTCCCGCAAAATTATAATTTGCGTAATTGCTGGTGGTAGGACCTCTTATGAGTCCCCCGTATTTCTATCCCTACTACCCCGCCTATTTCTGCCGTGAAGCAGTAATGCGTTTCGGTTTGAAGGGTGGGGGTGTAGCCGTTGTAACTATACTGAGACATTATAACTTATATTTCAAGGTGGGTGGCACATTTACGTTGTGCGTTGATGCCTATGAGCTACAGTAATCACTTAACACCAGGTGGGCTGTGAACTCTTCCACCCATCTAAGCGATAAAAAAATAAAAAATAATAATATCACAGTTAGAAAGTCAATAAATTCTCCCTGTGCTGATTGATTCGAGTGGCGATTGTGAAACATAGCGGTTGACAGCAAAAAAATGCTGTACGCAACTATGCCATTTTAGATTTAAACATGTTTGTACATTTTGTAATGTTTTTTCCAATACAAAACTTCACTATCACAAAAGAAAGAGGTTAAATGGATAATAATCGTAGTCGAGTAATTAATAAC